TTGGGTTTCAATCAATTTAGGAATTAACCTGATTAAATTAATCATTATATCCTCAATTGATTACTTTTACACCATTTCATGACTTTTCAAATAATACTGTTTTATAAATTAACGAAATACTGTGTCATAACACTTGAATCCTATGGTTCAAAACACATTTAAAAGTAATGTTAGATGACTCATGCTGAGTACATATTTTTGTATTTTTATTTAATTATTTTATTTAAATTTTTTTAAACTGATTTATTACTATATATTTATAAAGTTTGGATAATGTCTACATGCATGCTGTGCAAGCAGTCTTCATCAATGTGAGAATAATCAGTGGAACAGAGCAAATATAAATCTTTTGATGGAGTTTTTCCGTACATTTAATTTTAATAACAATGTGAAATGTACATGGACGTATGGAATGAATATATCCGAAAAGTTTGATTTATTTATAATTGCTTGTAAATTAGTTGAAGTTGCAGTGATTTAATTGAAAAATGTATATAATTTATGAATATGTGAGCTCAATGGAAGGAATTCACAATTTACCCAGGGAAAGAAAACAACACATGTCGTTTGTGTACTTTCGCGCAAATGTTGTGTTATACTGTAGGCTGTATATTTCGCGGTGGTTTAATTTTCGCGAATTTCCCTGACCGCGAAAGTAACAACACGCGAATAATTCATACCGAATAATTCATAATTCACCGACCGCGAAATTAACCACTCGTGAAATTGTCCGTCAAGTCTGAATTCGCGAAAATATCTGTACGCAAAAAATATGGCGTATACAGTATTGTGTTGACTTATAAGTATTGCTAGCGGCTATTTCCATATATATAGTAAGAGAGGTATTTCTTTATCGTTGGATTAGCATGCTACGGGATTGCGTTAGCTTTTGCCTCTTTAAGAGTTGGAGCTCATCTTAGAGTTAAATAAAAACACGGCGTTGCCATGGCGATGGTCTGGAGGGAGTCTGCAGTAAGGAGTATATATATGTGTGGTGAGGTAGTATAGTGCTCACATTTATCAGGACAACGACAATAAGCTCAATTATCATTTATTGATTTTATTTCTGCATTAAAAGCAATAATCAATTTCGGCAAAATTCTTTAAACAAATGTGTAAAATAATGTTACATTAATTGCGTACAGAGAGCTTATTAAAGAGCTTATTAAAATGTTAAAATTGCTGTATGCGGCGTGTACGTATAGCGTACGCACGTACGTCCACGATATTACCAGCTGTGTATTTATTAGGCAGGTAGGTAGTCACGGCAGAAGCATTATATAATTATTATGTTTTCATATTGGAGATATCTATCGCACCGAGTATAGATAATATCAGGAGTGAATGATAATTGATTTTCTAAATCATTATTATCATTATTCACTCCTGATAACATTAGCGATGTCATTATCTACTATTTATCTTACCTACATAGTTAAAGGCGGCGGATATCACGTATTTTTCTGATGCGCAGATTGTTGCCAGCAAAGTTGTACGCGCTGGCGCTTATTTTATAGAGTATTTCCCTGTGTTTTATATATACGACCCGTAGGCAGACGTAGACGTAACGTGATCTCTGTGGTCGGCATTGCGCAAACTCAAAAAAATACTCGTGAAGAATACTAAACGTACTATAAGAGCGCATTGTTAATGACGTTACTTGTCGCTTTACTATCCGATACTATACTACTTATAGGATTGATATAGTACTGTATATCTACGCTGTACATAGGCGAATGCGATACACCCCGAGTGTGAAGAATGCGTTCACGTATATAGAATTGAACGTGAGATTAAGGGAAGACTGTAAGTTAGAAGGAGAAGCAATACTTTCGCCTGGTGTAAGCACTGTTGTCAGGTCTCGATTATATAGAGTACCGGCTGATGTTTGGGCTGTCAGCTTCATGGGAATTGCAAGGGTATTATTATTTACCTTTGGCACTGTCAGAGAGATGATCGGCAGGTTATTTTAGAGATTAATAGGTTTTAAAACGATGTCTTGGGGAATAATTGAGTAGGGCACGCCATTATTGGCTTCAAAATTAAAACCACGTACAATGCACTTGAGGTTAAATAACAAAAATACTTTCTGAAGTGAATTGTCATATACATACTGCAATATTGTTTACTGTGTTTTTCTATTTTATACGTGATATGTACTTTTTCATACCACCAGCCGCCAGTTCGCCAGTTTCGCCAAGCCTGATTTAATCGGTAAACCTGGTTTGTTTTAGAACGTGTTCTGTTCCTACTCAAACTTGTGCGTGAACACCATGCGACGGTTAATTGCACACTGAAATCTCGCCTGCGTGCGACGCATACGACTGAATTTACACGAATTTGCTTCAATGCGGTACGCGGAATATATTTTTTAAAAATCCAAAAAGATTACATCTAAATATGTTTAGGTGTTCGCGCGCATTTTTAAAGGTTTTGTTTTCTACATATCAAGAGGATGTATGTTGTTATTTGCAGTAGCGTCATTCGTGAAACGTGTAAAAATGGGGCTGTCACCAAAATAGTATGCGTAATTATAGTTCTGAATTCGCACCATCCCCCCGCCAGGTGGCGACTGATTGTGATAACGCAAGTAACGAGGTTGGTAGTTGACCTGTAGAGGCTCGGAATTCCGTACGTTTCTACAGCAAATAACAGTTTTTAGTCCCGTCGTAAATACAGTAACCTGCATAGGTTTTTCAAGCGACTTGTATTGCATATATATACATATAACTATCGATTTCGACAGGACGGGGGTGCCGTGTTCCCGTGTATAGGTTATGAGTATATGTCTGTGAGTATTACTGACGCTAATAACCGAAAACGAATCACGCGCTCCATCCCCCTATTGTTATAGCTAGCCTGGCGCAGTGTGGTCCTGGTTTCGTTTCATAATACACACAGTGCTGGACGCACGCGCCCAGTGCGGGAGTTCCCTGCGGTGCCCCCCCCCCTTCGGCCGAGGATGTGACACACACGTGTCTAAACCCGAAAACACGTTTTCACTTGTGTGCATTCATTGCATCTGTGAGGCGTGCTTGCGTCCGCCCTGAAAATTGTATAATCTATCAATAAGCTAGTGTCGCTCAGTTTGCGTGACTAAAAAAATTACGAGCAATAAATATACCTATTGAATTATTAAAATATGTTAGTTAACCCTACTCATTTTATTCATACGAAGGCGAACGTTTAGTTTATTATTATTTTATTTTTTATTAATGGTATCTAAAACACAAGCAATGATTAATAGATTAATACAGACTCATTTTGATATATATACATACACGTATATATGTTTAAGATAGGATGTCAATGTATGTTTGGTACTCATAAACAAAACAGAATTTATTATCTGTATAGCTGTCAGACATCAGGAGACGGCTCCTTACAATTCATTACAATTCTGTTATAATTGTTATGTATGCACGCATCATTAAGTTTTATAAATCCTAGTTTTACTAAAGCATTCACGAAAAACAGCGCTATGCTATATATGATCCAAGATCTAATCACGAGTAAATTACATGCAGTTATTTAATCCTGTACTGACTATTATTTGTTTATTTAAGCTCGGATCTAATTATTTTATATTTTCACATCTAATTTAACGTTTCTTTGTTTAGCCTCGTATCTAAATAACATTGTTTATTTAGCGTTAGATTTACATAACGGTTATTTATCGATAGGTAACCGTCCTCGGTATACGAAACTATCGTGTCCTACTATCTACACTTCTATGCACCTATAGATCAGTGGTTCTTAGCCCTTTTTTGAGTCGCGGACCCCTTCGAGAATCTGGTGAAAGTTACGGACCCCTCTCCAGAAAAATTCAGATAAGCAAATAAACACGATAATTTTTTATGCGTTTGGTTCACGGACCCCAAAGGGGTCCATGGACCACAGGTTAAGCACCCCTGATCTAGATGAACTTTACCCATGGTTTTCACATGTAGCATTGTGCGCTCTCCACGTTTTCAGCTATGCTCTACCAGCATACTCAAATACAAGATATTTCTTACCGTAGCTTGGTTTAGTTCAGCTATACTATAACGGCATACTCAAATACAAGATATTTCTTACCGTAGCTTGGTTTAGTTCAGCTATACTATATAGCGACAAGCTCAAATACAAGGTATTTCTTATAGTAGCTTAGTTTACTTCAGCTATGTAACACCGGCATACTACCCGTAGTTTGCATCAGTTCAGCTGTGCAATAGCGGCATGCTTTTCTGGTCGTAGGGTAGGATGAAACGAGAGGAATTCCGTTTTTAATTTTGCTCGTAAATGTGTCACGGGTAGCGCTCACATACAAGAAACCAAATACATTAGGGGCGGCAGATATTTCATATTGCAACAGGTAAATTCTGTGTTTTCTTTTAATCTCGCGGTCGTTATTGCTGTCGGATTTCACTATTCCATCGTTAGTGACCGCAAAGCTCTTTTCTATAGCAAAATTTAAAGCGGTATGTTTTTTCCAAATTTTCATATCGAAGCGGGTTTCTTTTATTTCACTAACCACACGATGATCGTGTAATACTTTTAATACTTTTTCGTAATTTTTTGAAGGATTTTATATAGTAATATAATATAATATAATATCTATATATATATATATATGCAGGGAATTTCCGAATTACGCATTACGCATTACGAACGCAGCTCTCTTACGTATATACCCAGGGATGATTAAACAAACTACTAAACAATTTATTGTGAATAGCTAATCATAAAACTACACAATGGTGTTATAGGTCTGATATGTACAACACATACCGATACGAGCTCAGTCAGTCTCACTGTTACGAGTGTATATGTCTTCCGATAGCTCCACGTACGACCGATATTTCGTAACCAATCGAGTTCGCAACCCGGGGACTCCCAGTATACACAAATATCTATATATATAATATATATATATATATATATATATATATATATATATATATATATATATATATATATATATATATATATATATATATTAGCCTTAAATGCAATGACGTCTACATTTCGGAACAGATTTGCGGAACACACGGCGGGCGCGGAACTTGTGGTATGACTTTCGGTGGAGGCGAGGTCGCCCTCTCCACGTCTTCACCTTTATCAGTCGCCCGCAATTTGAACATATTCCCGATCATCACTGTGTTGGCAACGGCTTTGAGCGTGAACCTGTAATGTCGATTCATCATCGTTGAACCGTCAACATATATGAATGTATGTATGGACGTGTGTGTGTGTGTGGCGCGCGTGTGTGTATGTGTGTGTCGTGCGTGCGTGCGTGCGTGCGTGCGTGCGTGCGTGTGTGGCGTGCGTGTGCGTGTACGTGTGTGTGCAAGTGTGTTTGTGTGCGTGCGTGCGAGTGGGTGCGAACGTGCGTGTGTATATATGTATATATATATTATATATATATATATATTTATTATCAGGAGTAGATAATAGGGAATTATAATAGGGAACCCTATTATCTACTCCTGATATATATATATATATAATATGAAATTGTATTACCTGGATATATTATTACTCTCTCCCGAGTAGTCCGTCTCCTCCACATCCAATGCTTCAACGGGATAAACAATCTTAAATGGTTCTGAAAAATACATATGTATATAGCAGTAGCAGTGCTTAGTCTTGTTCTGATTTAAATACGCTATAATTCATAACAGAGAGGATATTTGAGATCGCGTGCGAGTCAAGTACGACACCAAAATTCTCTCTCTCTCCCTGGCTCTCTCCCTAACTCTCGCTCTGTCTCCGTCTCTGGCTCTCTTTTTCTCCCTCTCTCTTGTTCCCCTTTATCTTACACGTACAATGTGTATAGATACAATATGCACAATACGTCTAATTGTTTGGTCTGAAAGCTTTGCAGAGTATTAGAGAATGCCGAGTAATCTAGGTAGAACACAAGGCCGAATGTACATTTAAATATTGCATAATATAGTACTTATACCAGGTGAAGATGTGCATTGTTTATACCGGTGTGAATTGAAACGCATTTGTTTTCATTCCCTACTCTTTATATGTATACTATACTATATGTATACGCCATAGCGGATTTCATCCTCCTTTGACATATTATACGGTCTGTAATCTGTATGACCGAGACAATCGCGACACATTTGTCTGCGGCGAAGCGATTATTGTAAGTACCTCTAGGCTTTCCGATGTCGAAGACTCCAAAGATATATTCTCCTGGGCCGTAAGAATCCTTTCCGATAATGAAGTTGGCAAAGTTCATACAAAAGTTGTCCATGTCCATGGGATACTTTCCGGACTGCATAAAACAATTCCCCGCGCAATGATTAAACGCGCGTGCGTGAGTGTGTGCATGCATGTGTGTGTGTATGTGTGTGTGTGTGTGTGTGTGTGTGTGTGTGTGTGTGTGTGTGTTGTGTGTGTGTGCGTGTGCGTGTGCGAGTGTGCGTGTGTGTGTATGTGTGTGCGTGCGCGCGCGTGTATGTATGTGTGTGTGTGCGTGTGTGTGCGTGCGTGTGTGTGTGTGTGTGTGTGTGTGTGTGTGTGTGTGTGTGTGTGTGTGGGTGTGTGGTGCGTGCGTGCGTGCGTGCGCGCGTGTGTGTGTGTGTGTGCGGCCGCCGTACGCGCGCGTATGTTTACATGTTAATAACTAAATAAAAATTAAAATAATAAATAATCGGTAGTTGACCAGTGAACGCAGTAGTTAAAATAAAATACATAATCAGTAGTGACCAGTGAACAGTCAGGTGTATTTTAAGACTATATTATGTAATAATTAAAACCGTCATGTAGGCGTGTTATTATTAACTAAATAAAACGGATATATATTGTGAATGAATAATTAGTAACTAACCGACATAATTTACGGTGAAGTGTATGTGCAACAACCATATGGCCATACTCACGGCTGTCATCTGGTTAAATCCCTTTCCACTCTGTTCATCGACATACGCTGGTCCATGCCAATAACAGCCCCGATAATAGTCTTTAAACTCAGATTTAGTTAGCTTCCCATCTCCTTTAAATAATTAAGTAAACATTATACGTATATTTCATCATATAGATTGAGTGGCAAGAGTCAGGGAGGAGAGAGGAAGGAAGAGCATGAGTAACAGAGAGACGGGGGTGTGCGAGCGGAGAAGAGATGAGAGAGAGAGAGAGAGAGAGAGAGAGAGAGAGAGAGAGAAGGGGAAGCGAGCGAGCAGGAGAGAACATAATCGAGGAGAAGGGGCGAGTGGATAAGCGAAAGAGAGCCGGCGAGCGACGAGAGAGAACGGGGCCGGAGGAGGAGGAGGAGAGAGAGACGATGGAGATTAAGAGAAAAGATAGAGGCGCAGAAAGAGTGTGGGCGAGGTAGAGAAAGCGACGAGAGAGAGAGAGAGAGGGCAGAGTGAGAGAGAGAGAGAGAAGACGATGAGAGCGAGAGAGAGAGAGAAAGAGAGAGAAGAGAGAGAGATGAGAGAGAGAGAGAGAGAGATAGAGAGAGAGAGAGAAGAAAGAGAGAGAGAGAGAGGAGGAGGAGTGCGAGAGAGGAGAGAGAGAGAGAGAGATGAGAGAGAGAGCAGTGAGGAGAAAGAGAGAGAGGAGAGAGCTAGAGAGAGTGCGAGAGAGAGAGAGAGAGCAGAGAGAGAGAGAGAGAGAGAGAGAGAGAGAGAGAGAGAGATCTCCATACGATTCCCACATCTCAATACATAATACAAGATCTCCACTGTCGTATACTCACTATCTTTGTCCATTATCTCGAAGAAGAGTTTGCAGTGCTGTGAAACCCAGTAAGGGAAGTCTCTCAGAGATGAGCATTTTTTCATGAGTACCGCCCAAACGTCTAACCAGTCCTCGCATGTAATGGCTGACGGACGACAGAATGAAGCAAAGACCATGAAGTTAGAATAGATGTTTTAATGATAAATCCTTGTCTAAAAGGAATATGATCAAATGGACTAGCCTTCACCGTGGAATGACAATGGGGGTATTTTCCGCCGGGTTTAGCGTTCTAATAACACGCGAATTCGCGCAGATGTTAACAGCTTATAATATAATCCACATATATTAGTGTATAAAAGCTGTTAACATCTGCGCGAATACGCGTGTTATTAGAACGCTAAACCCGGCAGAAAACACCCCCATTGTCATTCCACGGTGAAGGCTAGTCCATTTGATCATATTCCTTTAAGATACGATATTATTAATATATGTCTTTATTATATTATAGGATGGAGTCATTAAATTATTAATGACGACGACGACAACAATAACATTAACAACAGCAGCAATAATAATAACAACAATAATCATAATAATAATAATAATAATATAATGATAAACAAACCATTCGAGCCTACTTTGGCGCATATGCTCTCATAAAAGCTCAAGTTGATATCGAAAGTTAAATCGTATAGAACGCTGTCGTCCGACGTGCGTGCGAACGTTAATTGTTTCTGAAAAAAGGTTAAATCAGTAAGTAGTCATACCATCTACTATGACGATAAATATAGAGCATGGTAGTTATGGCGAAAGTTTTATATATCGTTGTAAGGAGTTTACAGGAACATGGCTGGGTCAATTTGCAGACTAGTTTGCGTCGGTATCTTACGCTATTCTGCGTCAATCTCTTATAAATGTCTGCGTCACTCTCTTATACGTCTGCGTCACTCTTTCATACGTGTCTGCGTCACTCTTTTATACGTGTCTACGTCACTCGCTTACAATCGTATGGGCCACTCTTACACTCTGCGTCAGTCTTTTACACTACTCTGCGTCAGTCTCTTATACTACTCTGCGTCAGTCTCTTACATTACTTTGCGTCAGTCTCTTACACTACTTTGCGTCAGTCTCTTACACTACTCTGCTTCAGTAGCTTACGCTACTCTGCGTCAGTCTCTTACACTACTTTGCATTAGTCTCTTACACTACTTTGCGTCAGCCTCTTACGCTACTCTGCGTCAGTCTCTTACGCTACGTTGCGTCGGCCTGTTACCTCTGTGAACTTTATAATATCGTTCCTCGTGATTCTCCCGTCGCTGTCCATATCTGAAACGAATAGGGAACATGGATTTTCGTTCAAGACCTATAACCACACAACTCTGTTAGTTGTGAGAGTGTAACCAGGTGATGGATGATAAAGCCACCCAGACGTATATGGTTGGTCATCGTATACTCAGAAATAATTATTTTTGCCGTAGTAAAAATTGTGTGTGACAAGGCTTCCGATTGGGTAAAAACGGCTATAATTTAATCGTGGTTGAATTATTTTCACCGCGATAAAAATGATTTCCTATGAATATGATGTCCAACCATGGTCGCAACGTAAAACTTGCAAGTATGAATGCAGGTTCTCTTAGTGTGACTAACCTCTCCGCCCTACCTCCCCGCGTTCGCGTTCTTCGATTCTCTTGCTGTCGTTAGACATTTCTCGTGTGAATATTTCACATATGGGAATTTTCGGCGAAATACTCTCGACAGATATACTCACCGATGAGAGTATAATAGTACGACAGTTTCCGACGTTGGAAGTCCGACAGTCCGAACAAAGGTCGATTATTGACATCGTCATCGACGGCATTTTGGATAATGAATTTCTTTCGGCGTCCAGTCAACGCCATGTTTGCAAATCTGTAAATAGTTAATATATATACATAACTTGGATATATAGATACAGATGGGATATATTAGTATTATGAGCGGTGAAAAAGAAGCGATTGCTGACCGATTCATGCGACAATTTATAGAAAGTACAGTCAACACTGTGTTAGCGGACACCTCCATAGAACGGACACCTGTCTAGAACGGGCGCGTCTAGCGTATACCCGGAACTGCAGTTAAACGGGAGAATCACCTCTATAGAACGGATATGTGTGTTCAAAGACACTTGTTGAGTTTGCGACTTTGCGAAAGTGCGATCTAGCATGCCACCGGAAGATCTAGAGTGGGTTCCCCCGATCGTACATGAATCATCCCACCCTGGATCCGTCAACAAATACACCTACAATTTGTTTATCTGATCACCTACTAAAAAGCGAGCGTTCGGGAGAGCTATGTAACTGCTTCTCATGAAAGCACTTAAATAGGCTGTTGGTCGAACTGAACGCCACGCTGGCTAGCTCTACCCATGTAGCCCTTACAACAACCACAACCCGCAGCTAGCTCTACCTCGTGTAGCCCTTACCAACAACCACACACCGCAGCTAGCTCTACCCGCCGTGTAAGCGCCTTACAACAACCACACACCCGGCTAGCTCTAACCCGTGTAGCCCTTACAACAATCACACTCCCGGCTAGCTCTATACCCATGGTATGCGCCTTACCACACCACACCCCGGCATAGCTCTAGACCGCGTTAAGCGCATTACACAACCACACGCCCGCTAGCTCTAACGCGTGTAGCGCCTTACAACAATCACCACCCCGGCGGCTAGGCTCTACCGCGTGTAGCCCTTCAACAACCACACGCCCAGCTAGCTCTAACCGCGGGTGTAGGGCCCTTACACACCCTGACACCCCGGCTAGCTGCTCCCGTTGTAGCCCTTAGCAACAACGCACACCCCGCTAGCTCTAACGCCGTGGTAGCCCTTACACCACACAGCATCCCTCGAGCAGGCTCTACCCGTGTAGCCGGGCTTAAAACAACCAGCACCCCGGCTAGCTCTAGCTCGTGTAGTGCCCTTAGCAACCAACAGGCACACCCCCGGCTAAGCTCTACCCGTGTAGTGCCCTTTTTTTTACAGCAAAACGACCACGAACCCAGCTAGCTCTACGCCGTGTACGCCTTACAACAACGGCACTACCGCCGGCTAGCTCTACCCGTGTAGCCCTTACAACAGACCACACCGCCCAGCTAGCTCTTACGCCGTGTAGAAGGCCCTTGTACAGACAACCACACCCGCCAGCTAAGCTCAACCGTGTAACGCGCTTTACAAAACGAGCACAACCCGCGGCTACTTACTCGTGTAGCCCTTACAACAACCAGCACCGCAGCTAGTCTCTAGCCCGTGTAGCGCACTTACACCGAACGCACACCGCCGGCTAGCTGCTAACTCGTGTAGCCCTTAGACATCACAACCACACACCCGGCTAGCTCTACCCGTGTAACCCATTACAAACGACGCACAGCCTCAGCTGACTCTACCCGTGTAAACCCTTACAAATGCACAGCACACCCGCTAGCTTCTACCCGTGTAGCCCTTACCACAACCACACCGGCGCGGCTAGCTTGCTAGCGCCGTGTAGGCCTTACAACAATCCACACCCAGCTACTCTACCCATGTAGCTACACCAATCAGCACCTCGGCTAGCTCTAAGCCGCGTGTAGCCGCTTTACCCAAACCACACCCCAGTAGGCTCTAGCGTGCGCGTGTAGCCCTTACACAACGCACACGCCCAGCTAGCTCTACCCGTGTAGCCCTTACAACAACCACACCCCGGCTAGCTCTACACCCGTGGTAAAGCCCTTAGCAACAAAATCAGCACCCGCAGCTAGCTCTACCCCGTGGTAGCCCTACAACAACACACCCGCGTAGCTATACGCCGTGTAGCCCTTAAACAATCACACCGCCGGCAGCTCTACCCATGTAGCTTAAGCAACACCACACCCAGCTAGCTCTACCGCATGTAGGCTCCTTACAAACACACAACCCCGGCTTAGCTCTAAGCCCGTGGTAGCCCTAGCAACAATCACACCCCGGCTAGCTCTACCCGTGTAGCCCTTAACAAACAATACACCCCCGGCTAGCTCTACACCATGTAGCGGCTTACAACAACCACACCCCGGCTAGCTCTACCCGTGTAGCCGCTTACAAACAACCACACCCAGCGGCTAGCTCTACCCGTGTAGCCGCCTTAGCAACAGATCACACGCCCGGCTAGTCTAACCCATGTAGCCCTTACAACAAACCACACCCAGCTAGCTCTACCCGTGTAAACCCTTACAACAACCACAACCCCGGCTGCTCTACGGTAGCCTTCACCACACCGGCTGTTACCCGTTACAACAACCAACAGACCCCCACGGCTAGCTCTAAGCCGGTGTTAGCGCTTACAACAAGCCACACCCGTAGCTAGCTCTACCCGTGTAGCCCTTACAACAACCACACCGCCCAGCTAGCTCCTACCCCGTGTAAGCCCTTACAACAACCACACCCCGCTAGCCTTCTACGCCGTTGTAACCGCTCTTACAAACAACTCACACCCGCAGCTAGATGCCCGTGTAGCCCTTACAACAATCACACCCGCCTAGCTCTACCCCGTGTAGCCCCTTAAACAACACACCTCGCGGCTACAGCTCTACCCGTGTACCCCTTACAACACCACACCACCGGCAGCTAAAGCCCGTGCGTACAACCCCCACGACTAGTATCCCGTGACCCTTTGACAAACACCACACCCGGCTAGCTCATAACCCGTGTAGCGCCTTACAAAGCAACCACAGCCCCAGCTAAGCTCTACCGCGTTTAACCTACAACAACAACACCCTCAGCTAGCTCTACTCCGTGTAGCCCTGTACAACAATCACACCTCCGGCTTAGCTCTACCCATGTAGCCCTTACAACACCAGCAGCCCGGCTAGCTCTACCCGTGTACCCCTTACAACAACCACACCCCAAGCTAGCTTCTACCCGTGTAGCCGTTTCGACAACACAAGCCCCAGCGTAGTCTACCACGTGTAACGCCTTACAACAACCACACCCCGGCTAGCCTCTAGCCGCCATGTAGCGCTCACAAACACAACACCCCAGCTAGCTCTATACTACTCTGCACACAGTGCAATATAACCAGTGTGTAACTAAGGTAATGCAGTAGCCACGGCGCCTTGGCGCCACTTGAGGGGGCGCACTGAGGCAGCTTTTATTAAAGTCAGACAATAGGCGGTTGTGGTTCGAAAAATTGAAGACACAATTAATAATTAGACAAATTAACAAATTAGCAAGCAATGAAAAGTTTCGTACGATCCTCAATTATCGATTGCTTCGCAGGCCTTCGTGAAGCACACATTCATCTCACAGTGCAGTAGCCATATTATTATTTTAGTGAGTGGAGTCACAAACATGTACGCATAACAAGTGCAGTTCGGATGACAAATTCTCTGGACATAATTAAAGCAAAGGTCGCAGATCGCATACAGTAACGAAGCAAACAACACGAGGCCTGTGTAGGACATGTTGTATAGCTAATGTAACAATCAATCCTCGAAATGGTCCGATTAGCGATATTCCGCACTAACCATGAGTGTCATGAAGTGAGAGTTTCAAGCACTGCCAGATTAGTACAAAATAAAAAAGTTCTGGAGCTATCTGCTACATTGTTCTACGGTATTCTTAATCATAATGAAAACTAGTTCCACGAGAAGTTTAAAGACTATTAATTACAGGATATTATTCAGTACAACGTCTAATGTCATGATTCCCGCAGTATTGTTAGAAATGAAAGTGAGAAAATATTAAGTTTAGCATTATTTGAAAGTTTTTATCTATTTTCATAAACTTAACCGTTTAAACCGGTCAATTGTGACCGTCACTAAATTAGTTTTAAATCATTTTAGCAAATCAATGACAGCTAAATTGAGATGGAAGTTTAAACTGATTTTTCTCGAAATAATCGGGTGCCAGTGACGTCAGTTATGTGGCGAAAAGTTACTAGCAAAAACGATTAGTTTCATGTCTAAAAATACTATTTCAAAGTGCTGGGAAATCGGCACCTGAGCCTAAAATTTTCAAAAATTTTCTGGGCGGAGGACGAGGCGGCTTCCCGCCATATGCCTCATAGTATGAAAATATCATCCTATAGTTTTGTTTATATATGAAAAATCGGCACAGGCCGTCGCATCAAGAACGCCCCCCCCTCCCACCCCCTAAACACACGCTTTTGGCTGGCTACGCCCGCTGTCTTATTATAGTAAAAACTATCTAAAAGATGGTGTCAGATGTTTGACAGGGGGCAATTTGCAGTGCTTGCCATACGGCGCTATTCTCCGTAGGTACGCCCCTGCGCATGACCTGTGTAGAACTAATGTGCTACACGGGTATACTTATATAGCCACCGTTTTGTGTGACCCTATAGCAGAGCTTCCTGACGCCGCATAGGTACAGATTACCCGCCTCCCGTTCGTATAATCTCATTATCCGTTATATACGCGTAAATAAGGTATTTTCACAGCGACGGTCAACAAGCAACTTATGATAACAAACACGACCGCGGCGTTATCTCGGCGCCCCGCAGAAAGAAAAGGAAATGTTTGAAATTGCGATGCTACCAAAATTATAACCGTAGCACGCCATGCACATGCGTATGGTTCAAGCAACACACATCCACTCTCTCTCTCTCACAACACACAGGCCCACACACACAACCACAACACCACACACACACGACACATCACACACGCAGCCACGCAGCTACGCCTGGACGCACGCACGCGCGCGCGCGCGCGCCACGACAAACGGCACGAACACACCACAACACCACACACACACACACACACACACACAAGCCACGCACATATATATATATATTATATATTATGTATATATATATATATATCGTAGTAATATATTTTGTATATATATGTATGGCGAGTGCCCGCATATACATATATACCATATTATTAGGTACCTATATTA